ATAAGTGAAAACAAAGTTTTTGCTAAAAACTTATGATAGAGATGAACAAGTCTGGTCCAATCCATCCAGTCCTAAAAAGACTAGTCTATTAATGTTTTCAGTCTAGTCTCAGTTCCAATAATGGTTCTTAATTATTTGATCTTATTGGCTAGCAGAGAAAATTAATTCATATGATGTTGTTAATAGAATTATTTATGAGAACTGGTCCAGACTAGTCTCAGGGGATATGTATCATTTCATCAACAGTCACTTCAGCGAGCACCCCATCATGCATCATAAGGAGTAATATTAAACAATGATTATTAATCATCAAACAATCTTTTAATATTAATTATCGCTCTGCATGATAGGGTGTTCGATGAAGCGATTGTCAATGAAATGATATGTATCTGGTCTCAGGACTGAGGACTGGTTAACCATAAGACTGGTTAAAAGATCGGTCCTTATTTGGTCTTTTCAGGACTGATCCATTCCATCTCATGGCTCAGGATATTACTAATAACACCCTAACTAAAATTTAAGTATGTTAAAAAAAAAATGTTTTATTTCATCTGAGTTATTTCAAAATAAAATCTAAGAAAAAAAAAAAACTCCTGTTTCATTTCATCTGAGTTATTTCGAAATAAAATCTAATAAAAAAAAAAAATTTTAATACATCATTTCAAATCATAATTATTGTCGCAAATCAAATTAAAATAAAATTTGGAATTTTCTTTTAAGCCTATAAAATCCACTTATACTCTTCTTTTGTCTAAATCATGACAAATGCATTTCAAAAAATTTTTATTTTCAAATTAAATATGTCAAAATTTCATATTATTTCGATTTATTTTGATTTGCCATAGCCTTAACTTTTAAATATAGTTTAGCCCTTCAGCAATGCTTCATCTTTTTGGCAGAGTTTCGTTTGATCAAGAACATCATCTTCAATAAGGAGTTTCACTATTTTAAAAATTATAAAATATATTCGTAAGATAGTACAGATATAGAATATGCACTCAAGCAAAGTTTAATAAGATAGTTGTATTTGATATAGCCTTATTGCTTTTTATTTGAATTATCTATTACAAATAACCTAAAAATTGAACCTATTATCTCTTATTATTTAATATTATCCCACTTCATCGATTCAGGAGAGTTATGGATAAAACATGAATAATTTTAATAACAGTCCATGTTAAATAGATTTCTAGGTCACTCAATAGAATTAATATAGTAAAAGATCTAATGAGATCAGATTATGTATTATTGTAACATTGAATTGATGCCTCTGAAATTAGTATTACTGGATAGGTTCTACGAATATAATACAGAAATAAGAAATATATATGCTAACAGTTATTTTAATTATATTAATTTGTTTTTTCTTATCAACTTTTCTGTACATACATATATAGTATTTCAAAAAAATAAAGTACATATCAATTATGCTTGTTACATTTCATATGTGGAATGAAATCATAAGTAGGAGTTATTTATGCTTTTTGTTTGTGGAAACTTTGATAATATTTTTAAAAAACTTATCATTTTAACATTTAAAGAACAATAACGATACATCTAAGGAACATTATATCACATTTAAGAAACATTACCATTTTTCAGAAACATTACATTTAAGGAACATTAACATTTTTCAGGAATATTACATTTAAGGAACATTAACATTTTATAATTAAAATAATTCAAATCATTTCAAATAGTATAAAGTTGTACTCAAGTACAAGAAACTTTAGCTATAAAATCCCAAATCTTTTTTTAAATACAAACAATAATTACTTACAGTTTCACTAATAATTATATATCCACATATTCACATTATATTTCAAGTCTCTTTCTGATCCAGTATGCCACAAGAACTTAGTGAAGATTTAAGATAAAGAGTCATTTATTTGAATTCGAAGGAGTATAATAATAAAGATATTGCTACACTTCTTTTTATAAGTGAAGCTTCTATATACTGAATATTAAACATTTTTCAAAAGTAGAGGTGTGTTAAAAATCCTTATAAAAGACAATATTGTCACAGAAAAACCTTCATCTATGATAAATTAGGCTTATTAAAACACATCATTAAAGAAAAGTTGATTTATATCTTGATGAGCTTGCAATTGAGATGGAAAACTATATACAAAAGCGAGTTTCTGTATCGACTATATGAAAATCATTGAAATATTGTAGTATTTCTCGCAAAAAGTTAACTAAAATTAATAAAAAAATGTATTGTTATTAGAAATAAAATTCATTAGATTAGGTTTAGGATATTAGAGTAAATTATAATATATAACAAAATTTACAAGAGATGTGTTGTTTCTCAAAGTAAAACTAGTATATATATTTTTTACAAAACATACCAAAGTGTGAAATAACTTTATTTAAGGCCAAATTTTGAATCAGATAATAGGTAAATTTTGTCTTAGTTAAAATTTACTTTGCACAAGATATGAGATGTATGATTTAATGCAATTCACATGAAAATAATAAATATCGACATCTTTTGCGAGATATATTTCTAGTACACAAGTTGATTTTATAGTTTAAAATTTTTTTTAAATTTTTTTTTTTCATATATGATCATCATGCAATGTTATATTTTTAAAATTTTTAAATATGTAATCCAATTTGATTAACTTTATTACGATATTATTTTTTTTTTAATTAGCTACACAAAATGGTCTCTGAGAGAAATGAGCTTTTGCGAAATGCTTACCTAGCTAACATTGGGACTAATTATCTTCTGGACCAGTTGATCTTTATAGACGAATCTGGAAAGGATGAATGCAGTTTGAACTGATATTATAGATATGTATCTATTAATACTCAAGTATGAAAAAAGATTCCTTTTATTCATAACAAAAAATATACAATTTTACCTTCTCTTTCACTAGATGGTTTTTTGGCTGTTGATATTATAGAAGGTAGTTGTGATAAAGAGCGGTTTTTTGAATTTATTTTATTTCAAGTGGTAAGTTAATTAAATTTTATTACTATTTAAACATTACTATTATTAAAATATATATTTAATAATAGATTTCCACGATGAATCCTTTTCCAGAAAAGAATAGCATTATTGTTCTTGATAATGCAAGAATTCATCAAAATGAAATGTTTGTTAAAATAGTAGAAGAACTTGAATGTTATGTAATTTTTTTGCTGCCATATTCTTCAGATTATAATTCTATTGAAACTGCATTTAGTACTATTAAATGCTGAATTCAGAGGAATAGGGACTTTATGAATGTCACAGATGATCCATTTTATGCACTCATGGTAGCATGTGCACAGATCACATCTGAGATGGTAGTAAATTTTTTTCATGAATTGGGTTATTTAGAATAAGTTTTATTAATATTATTTGTGTCAGTATTGTGTATTATAATTTTTTTTACAAAATAATGTGGGTACTTGAACATGGCAATTCTGCACAATGTTGATCGATCTAGTAATGGTTTTGGCACAGATAGAAAATAATTGATTGTAGCATAAATAAATTACTGAAATATATTATATATTATATTAGTAATCAATAAGTAAGAATAATATAATTAGAGAAATAATAATAATAAAATTCTTGCCCTACAGGGCACCCTTTTTTTTTTGCAACTTTGCTATTTAGTAATGGAATTAATGGTTATAACCATATATCACAAATTACATTTATAAAAAAATATAGTTTTTTCAAATCACTTAGAGCAGATATGTATCATGGTTTTTAAAAGGCCAAAGGTAATTAATTATTTTCACATTAGTGTTGGAAATTCAAAAAGACAATATAATAATTTTTGTGTACCTTTTTTTTTATGTTCATATTTAAAAAAAATAACGATTACAAACAAAATTTTATTACATCATAAAATTTGAGTAGTGATGTTACATATTACTACTACATTATGCATCTGATATGTTCAACTCTACTTACTGCTACTACATTAATTATCTAATAAAAAAAAATAAGCTATCTATTATAATGAAAAAAAAACTTGTTCTACGTATATTTTCAAACTTGTTAAAAAAATATTACAATAAGTGTATCACAATACCAAATTTATATTTCAATATTTGTTTTCTGCCTGTTTAATATTTTTTTGCTACTCAATTTTGGTAACTCCTAATTGGATTAATTTCAAATTACTTAAGTCCTTAATAGCATTTACAGTTATTCTCTCCTCTTTAAATATTGGTATTAAATCTAAATAAGCTTTATTATTATTATTGTTATAGTTTTTATTTAACTTCTCAAAAAATTCTTTAAGACTTGGAATTGAACCTAAACTTAATGCAACTACATGTGGTGATTGTAATTGTGATACTTGGGTATTAACTTTAATAGCATGAACTATGCCAAAAGCTGGATACAAAGGTGGTGTTTCAATAGTGGTAAGTTTATATTTCTACAAATAAGAATATATATACAGTATATATATGTATATATATTAATACAGTGCAATCAAAAAAAAATATTAGTTCCTTAATTGTAATAATACTTACTATGTCTCTTGCCCACAAATGTAAGCATGAAGGTATTAATGGAAGATGTTTACTATCTTCAATGTAGCAGGGCATAGCATAAATTTGGCAGTTATATTTTGTTCTAATTTGTATAATAATAGCAGCTATTTCGATCTCATTAGCATTAAGTTTGGATTCTTTTGATACAAAATCTGTTTTTAATTTTTTAGTTTTTATTTTCAGTATCTCTATATCTGAATCACCAGATTCTTCAATTGAATTCTATAAATGTATATTAGATATACTGTTATAAATGTGTAATCTCTATTACAATTTATTATATATAATAATAATATATAATATAAAATCAAATAACATATCTTAATTTTTCTTTTTTTATTATCTTGTTTATTATTAGATAACTTTAGTGCAATGTTTAATACTATAGATTTGTTTGACTTTACTAACTTTTGGCATTCAATAATAAATGCATCATAGTTATCTTTGTTATCTAAAGCCATTGCCTGTTCACAACCATTGATTTTATAAGAGACCTAAATATCATTTTTATTGAAATTATCATTATTAATGCATATTTGAATATGTTTAACTAGACTATCTTGAAAAATGCCAAAATTATCTAATTCAAATGTGAACCATTTTGCTGGAATTGAATCAGATTTATCAAGTTCGATTATAACCTTAGCTTTGAATTTTGTAATATCTTTTTCTGACAAAATTGAGTCTGTTGAGTTAGAATCATTATTACTAACACTTATAGCTGAATAAATATCAGTATCTTTAACTTTTTTTTATCATGATCAGAAACACTTGTAGTAGCTGAAGAGAAGTCAGTATCTTTAAAACTTTTTTTAGCATGATTATATCGCGAATGGCAAATTAAACATAAACTAAAATTAAATAGTTAACTAAAATTGCAGTTGTATGCGAAAAGACAATTAAATCTTTCAAGAAACATTTTTTGATTTATTTGAATATCATCAGAATTGTAAAATTTATCATAAATTTGTTTAGAATGAGTTTTACTGTGAGTTGGTTTTTGTTCAACATTACATTCACATAAATCTTGAGTTCGGTCAATAAAACAAAATAGGCACTTTTGACAAGAGAAACATATTTCAATTTTATAAAGAAACATTTTTTTTTTTTTTTTTTTTACACATTAGCGATTTATGATCATTAAATATTTACAAAATTCCATTATTAAAATTATCATTACAAGAAAAATAGAACTTTATAAATTAGTATTAGCGTTTTTGGTATCAATATTCAATGTTATAGAACAATGATAAAAAATATAAATGCTAATAATTCTAATAATTACTCTATCACTAAAATGCTTAGATATTTTGATTTAAATATATATATATACATATAAATATACCTAGTCTATTTCTGAACCGACATACTAGCATCATTCAATATTAATTTGTAATGGATTCATATAACTTATTGAATTCGTTAGTATCTATGAGAAATATGTATTTTTAATTTATATTCTAGGTATCTTCTATGGTAGATATTGAATCAAAAAACAAAATACATTCTATGATAAATTGAGGTCATTTTATCGACAACAATTCTTTTACTAAAATAGTCATTTTCCCAATTATTAATTTTCCCGACAGTCATTTCATCGATGAACAATTATGCTATCTCAAAAAAGTATCATACCAGGAGATGCAGGTTATGCTACTTTGTACATTAGGCATTACAAATTAATACAATTAAGAGATTTTCCTAGCATTTATTCTTTTCTAAAAAACATGTTTATTGCTACTGTTATGGATTACATTAACCTTCAAATTAAACTTGACCCAGTCAATTTAATCAACATAAATTAATTGACTTAGTTAAATTAATATAACTGAATAAATTAATATAATTTGTAAAATTAATATGTATTTTACTATGTAATATAATTAAATTTTTGGCCATTCTCAAGTGTCTAGTCAATGTGTCAGTAAATAAATTTTACTTGGCAGAAGATATTTTAAGAGAATAAGTATTTATAATTGTAATGAAATAACATAATATATTTTTACTAGTAAAAAATAATACATAAGTTTATCATTTCAATTTATACCTATTTTACAACAAACCACTCTTTTTTTTATTCTTGGCTTGACAAAATTTACAATTAATTGAGTATTCATAGAGATCACACATGTAACCTTATCATGCAACAACTGAAATATTAATGATTTAAATATGATAACAACATTTGATAAAATATTAATTAATTGCACAAGTATTAATTGTAATTCTTATTTTGATTCATTATAGTAAATATGCATCAATATAGTTATTAATAATGTTTTAGTAAACTTTGATTATTTTATAATTTGCTTATTTGATTCATTATCAAAATTTTGCAAATTAGTCAGTCAATGAATAAATAAATGAATAAGACTTATACTTCAAAGGTCTTATATTGTGGCAAATCAAAATAGTTAAAGCTATTATAATATAAATATAAGGTTAAATTGCTAATTTAAAAATCTTGCAATAACAAATGAAAAATATACATACCAGGTATGACTCTTCAGCAACTGAGTGATATCTATTACTTTTTCAATTGTGAATCTACGAGGTCCATCACTTCCTTGTAAGTCTTTAAACCTATTAATAGGAATGTGAAATGTTTCAGTAGTAAATTAATAGATGCGATTTCTTTTTGTCATTCTATGACCGTATGCACTAAAAAATAAATAGTTTTTAACAAAGTCTAAATCTAGAAAATAACAATAACATAAGCAATATAAACCCTCCAGAACTACTGTATAATCTCATCTGATTCTGTATATCCTTGGTAATTGGTATGTTCCTTCAAATCATTGACATCAATTTCAGCGATACCTCCAATAAGTAACTAAAATAATAATGTAATTCAATCAAGGTGTTCTCATGACTAATTTTTTGTTATGCAGTGATTTTATTGCTAACTAGTACAAGACGCATATTGAAGGAACCTATTGGCAAACCGTTCTACAAGTAATAATAATAAAATTTTAACTTTAACCTCTAATTCACACTCGTCAAACACTGAAATCAACTCTTGTGATATTAGTTGATTAAATTCTCCATAAATGCTTTAAATTGGTCCTCAACATGTTTAGAAATACATCATTCAGTGATGAGCCTAAAAGAAATTTAATTCTGAATTTAGAATAAGAGAAAATATATTATTAAAAAAAAACCATACTGCCATATATACTCTATATATTATTTCTTATTTTCTTCTGTCACTGGAATATTGCAACCATTCAGTTTCAGTAATATTACTCTCTTTGTAAAACAGAAAATGGGTTAGTACTAAAACAGTTATGTATATTTTTTATAAACAAATTTACATACAAAGCCCAGTTTAAACTTCTATAGAAATCAGCATCTACACTTTTCTTTAATCATTTTATAAAATGATATAATGAAAAATGTAACAATGGAAAATACCAAGCTTTACCACTCATCCAATAAATTTAAAATAATTAAGATGTTGAGAATTAATACCTAAGTAAGAATTAATCTGGAGAGTACAGAATAAATCAAACATATAAAAAAGCAAAAAAAAAAATTCTCTAAAAAATTTGTAAAATAAAGCTATTTAACACATGCTATGTTTACGAGAACATTTGAGGGTTCTATCAAAATCTGGTTAATCAAAATTCAATTTGAATGTTTTTAATAATTACTTATTTAAACTATCGTAATACAATTCATCTTCAAATTTAATTATCAACCGTTTTTTTAAGATCTTGTAGTTGTTATCGCATGATTTCTGAAGCATCTTAAAAAATAAATTCATATCAGACTTTAAAGTGACATTGACCAGGTATGGGTCAAAAAGCAGGTTGAGATCTGAAGTATCTACAAAAATCTCAGTTATATTGAGGCATATTTTGACTAAATCAAAAAAATAATTCATACAATAAAATATAAATAATTAAGACCTGATAGTATTAATGAACTTATCAAGCATTATGTACTCTAAACTGCTAGGTAATCGAGGATCGTCCCACATAGTAGTTTTTGTATTGTAATCTACAAAGTATACTCTTGCTGTAATTGTCAATCATGTTTCTCAGCCAGATAGCAGTGCTGCTGAATGGTAATAGTGTTTGCATTTCTATCATACAGCCTAATATACTATTACCTACAAATATCTACCAAAGTAGTTGTTCTCGTATTATGATTCACAAAATATGGTCTACTTTCTGGTGTATTCTTTGTTCTTAAATATAAAAAATCAAATGTGTGTTAAATAGAAAGAAGAAAAACGATTGAATCGAATCGTGTACAATAATATCTGCTACACTAATGATATAGCTAGCAAGACTTATCTTCAAAGTGAAGTTTTCTAGAAGGTAAAATTCTTCTGTATAGTGAACATTAATACTTCATTAACATAATGTTGTAGTTATTTTAGGTTATTTTAAGATGTATATAAATAACTACACAGTTAAATTAGTTATTGTTTAGTGAACAATTATAGAATTACATAAAATTGGGTATCGATCTTCAATCAATGTGCTTAGCTAATCAAGTATACGGGTATGGGTATATAGGTGTACATTATAAAAAAAAATTTATTTGCTATTTTCAACTATTTTGAAAATAGCGATAACTATTTGATTTGTAAAATCTTGAAGATATAAATGTTTTTGCAAAATATATAAGTTAATATATAAAATTTTGTAAAATTATAATTATAATATTTATATTGCCAATATATTTTAAAATAAAAAAATAAAAAAAAATAAGTACAATAATAATAAAAATTTTAATTAAAAAATAAAAAAGAATAATTAGAATAAATTAATTGATTATAAATATTAGAATAAGCCAGTAAAATTTTTAAAAAAGCTTATTGATATATATTAATATATATCAAATTTTTATTTTATTAAAAGTATAATATAATAGTTTATTTGAAATACTTAACATATGCATTATATTATACTTGATACAACAACATATACAAAAAACTAGTTTATATTATACATTATATAATAGTATAAATTTATCTTCAATATAAGTACTACTAAGAAAAACTAGTAATCTGAGTTTTAATTTAATATTTACTAACTATATTTTTTAACAAGTTGTTAAAGATTATAGCTAGTAATATTAAATTAAAATTTAGATTACTAGTTTTTTTTTTTTTTTTATATTAAACTAGCTTCTTTTGGAGCTAGGGCTTTTTATTCAATATAGTTAGGATATAGGAACTCATGGCCAAGGCCTTAAAGAAGTCATCTTACATTAGAAAGTACAACTAGGCACATATACACTTTTGGTGTCTAATTAAGTAGTCTGCCGATGGTTCTATACTAGCTGCTATACCTGCAACCCAACTAGGGATGTTGCCTATTTAAACTCTCTGTACTGCAGCCCTTACTGTATCACTAGATTATTTCTGCTATGTAAGTCAGTCAAGAAGGTCTAGATGCTTACCCATATCCTTAGGACCCCATACTTTATTTCATGCAATGTATCCTCAGAAGCATCGTTACTAGAGCCTTCTGTGTCCCACATATAGCTAACCTAGTTTTATATAACACACTATAGTTACCTAATACTTGCAATCAGTATTAACCTTAAACTGCTATGTTATACTATTTCTACTCTTGTAAAGTTCACTTAAACCCTGGTACCTATCTTTCTGACATCTTCTTCATTATCCTTTACTAGCCACAACTCAGAACTGTCGGTCTCATTCTAGACTACCAATTCAGATGGCCCAGTATGATATACTTTAGTATCCTTTTCTTTTGGCAAATCTGGTGGCCTGGTTGGTCATATGCTCCTCTACACATCTTGATGTTCGGTTTTAATCTTTGGTTCCTATGAAGGTGTTTTGTGAACTTCCATCAGTCCGACAGCATCATCAAAAGTTTGTGCTACCTCTTTACTCAGAAATTTTCAAGTAGGATTCTGTTTCCTCGATTCCTTAGTCTTCTATGCCTAGTGGTCTTATCATAGGTTTGCACTGAAGTCTTATGCAACACTGGTTATTAACATTCCTCTATGTATATGTACCATATAATGTTACACTTCACATAAATGCCTCGAGCTCTCAATGTCAATAGGACCTCGACTTGGTGTACCTGGGTTACAGCTGCATAAGGCCAACTGATCGACAGAAGACAGTTTCCATATCACAGATATAATTTCCAAATTTCATAGTAGGTGGGATTTGAACCTTAGACCTGCCACTTAGAGGATGACAACCCAACTACTACACTAGGATTGTCATCCTCTCGATTACTAGTTTTTCTTGATGACATATATATTATATTAATATAAGTTTATTGTTAGTCTTATATTATATTGATGTATATATATATATATTTTTTTTTTTTTTATTTTTTTTTTAAAAGTGAGATCTTGTCTTGATTTCTTTATTGATTATTAATATCTAAATATATTTTTATTTGTAGTATATATTATTTAATCTCTAAAAGCTAAGGCTTAGACTACTTTACCTATGACCCAAACTTTGCTAAAAAGAGTCAAAGTTCTCACTTAGTCTATAATTGTATTAATATAATTTGGTGAGATATTGTAACTTATAAACATTTTTCTTTATATTTTAAGTTTAATTTCTATTTTCAATTCAGTTATTTCTGTATTGTGTATGTCTGCTATTGCTGTTGAGACTGTCATTAAGTCTTTATTATCAGCTACTGTTTGTAAAGTATTTGATTTTGGTAAGTTGTTATACTGTTTCTTGCATCATGTTATCCATATTTCTTTATATATTTTTTGTGCAATTTTGTGCATTAAGTAGACTGATAGACTGTGTTTCAGTTTTAATACTTTTGCTATTTTGTTAATAAGTCTTGTACTGCTTTGGAAAAGCATTCTTAGTATAGCTCTTGTTAGTTCTGTTTGTGAGTTGGTTAGACAGATGCCTTGGATTATTAATGTTATAACTCGATGTCTTATTTGATTGTCTGTTATAACATGTTTAGTCAGAATTTTGTTAATTATTTCTGTTATTATTTTCTATAAGCTTATGTTATTGCTATTGCATGTTATCAAGTGGTAGTTACTTTCTGTTGTTGCTTGGCACCTTTGGCATATTGGATTGTAATACTTTTTTTATTATGTTTATATAATACTTCTAATATTAACAACTCTTCTAGTAATAGTTTTAGTTTAAATGCTTTCAGTTGAGAGTATTTTGGATTTGTTTGTCTTTGTGTTGATGAGCATTAATAATTTAGGTAGTTATAGAAAAATTTCCAATCTACATTTTTGCAAATAGTGTTCCATATTTGGGTTCTTGTTTGTAATTGCTAGTGTGCTATATGGTGTGCATTGTGAATATGATGAATAAATTTTTTAATATTATGTTCAATAGGAGTATTTTTCCAAGTAGAATATAGAATATTATGATGTATATTTTTGTAACTTATGTCTATCTCTACAGTAGAAGAGTCTATGTTTAAAATATATATTATGAGCTTGTTTACTGTAAATATAGTAATTTAGGTCTTTTTTTGCAATTAATGCTTTTTATGTCAACCAGCTTGTCCAGTTGTTTAGGTGATATATTTGGTATATATTGTTTGTTATAGTTGTATAAATTGTTTCAGCTAGTTTTGTAAAATGATTTTTGTCTGTAATGATTTAAATCCTTGCTCTGTCTGATGTTATTATTGAGCTAAATATCAGAATTGTAATAAGTGTTTTGGTTGTTGTAGGCCATCCTGATAGTGCTGTTTTGAACTGTAGTTGCAATGATGACATGTTACATATTATTGTATCTTGTTGTATATTATTAATTGTTTGTTGTATATTGTTAATTGTTTGTTGTTTTTGGATTAGTTGTAAAGTAATGTCTTTGTATTGTTTGCACTTTTTTGTAGCTCTTGTAAATATCTAGCTGTTTCTGGGTTTTTTATTGCTTCTTTTGTCAGCTTATATTTTTTTCAAATATTGCTTTGGTTTTGTGT